ATTGCTCATATGGGCCAAAACGAAGAGTGGTGTGGAGCTAGTCTATCGAAGCCCTAAACTATGGCATACGTGGTTTCGCTCAAAGACCGTAACCAATAGTGATGTATCCTTGTGAATAAAATCAGGACGAACAAAAATCCGGATGAAATTCCTTATTCTGTCGCATTCCTGATTTTTGTTCATCCTGATTTTTGTTCGTCCTGAAAATTGTTCGACTTGATTTTGCCGCTCGCGAGAGATGATGGTGGGACTTTCAGCTCGCTCCGCTCGCTGAGTCGAACAATTTTCAGGATAAACATTCAAGAGCGATTATTTAATGTGCTCTCTCGTTTAAATCGAATCGAGAGTGTTTTGAAATTATGTTTTGACTTTAAAACCATGGTAAATCGTTTTGGCTACACTCGCACAAAATTCAACAGATCAGGTGATACAATAATCAGGATGGTATGAAAATACGGATGAACAAAAATCCGGACGAACAAAAATAAGGATGATATTCCGGATTCTGTTGCAATCCTCGAACGCAACGAATTTAATTTTTTCCCTTTGAATCCCTTCACACCCAAATGCAAAGCTAAGAAATACATGAATGCAAAAAATTGTTTTTATTTTAACAAAAATTTAACATGCTAACTGTCCATTTTTTCAAACATAAGACGATGTGTTGGAATGATCATTTCCATTGCGATTTTCATTGCCGTTTGGATTTCCATTTATATTATTGTTTTCTGTTCGTTCGTTTCTTCCTCTTACCGAGACATCGAGTTCAGACCTGCCGCTGGCTCGCACAGCACTGCGGCTACGTCTCGAATTTCCAGGCGGATCGATAAGAATTCCTTGCGGACGCGATTTATTGTTCGAACCAACGCCTCATTCTTATCGTTGGCCACCTTTAATCCGGCGTTGCGGGCATCAAGCTGAGCTCTGAGTTCAGCGGCTTCCTTCTCTGCGTTTCTAGCGGCATCGTTGGCTTTGGCCGCATCATCTTCGAAAAATGCACGATGTTTTTTGTATTGTGTGAATTCGTGCTCTGCGACATCCAAATCGTGGGCCAATTTGATTTTGTCCGATTCAAGCTGCATATTTTGCATTTCCAATCTGAATAAATAACAAAAGATGGAAAAATGATCTTATAAATAGGCATGACACTGCTACTATTACTATATGACTATATAGCGCCACATATGGCAGGTATGAACAATTCACATGGACAAAACTATTGCGCTTGAGCTCATTTATGATTATTCTTTGACAGTTGGTTGGTGTCTGTCTGAAGTTTACGTAATAACTCACGGTACAGAGAGTACGTTACAAATTTCTGTATCTATGAATAATTGAACGCGTGAGAATAAAAGACTGACGCTACCAGGTTTTTCGCAAAAGCGGGATAAAAATCAGTTGCACGCAAAAGAGACATTTCAAAAGGTTGCACGCAAGAGAGAAGTATATTGATGTTGTAATCACGGCTTTAAAATTCAAAATGCGACAAAATAAAATGTTCCGTTTGCGTGTAACTGCAAGCGTCAGTCTTTTATTCTCACGCGTTCAATTATCCCTCAGTATGAATAGTGTACGTAATAAAATAATCCAAAATTAAGATATCTAACACAAAATTATTTTCGTCCATACAAATTTTCTCTAAAAAATAAATGTTGTCTTAGATATCTTAATTTTGGATTATTTTTACGGAAAAAATCAATTGTACCAAAAATCTCAATCATTCTTCCTGGTGTTATGAAGAATTCTGGACAGCAAAAATCAGGTGAGACAAAATCCGGATGATGAATTCCGGAGTGTTGAAAATCTGGACGGTATGAAAATATGGATGAACAAAAATCGGGACGTACAAAAATCAGGAATGCAACAGAATCCGGAATATCATCCTGATTTTTGTTCGTCCGGATTTTTGTTCATCCGTATTTTCATACCATCCTGATTATTGTATCACCTGATCTGTTGAATTTTGTGTGAGTGTAGCCAAAACGATATACCATGGTTTTAAAGTCAAAACATAATTTCAAAACACTCTCGATTCGATTTAAACGAGAGAGCACATTAAATAATCGCTCTTGAATGTTTATTCTGAAAATTGTTCGACTCAGCGAGCGGAGCGAGCTGAAAGTCCCACCATCATCTCTCGCGAGCGGTAAAATCAAGTCGAACAATTTTCAGGACAAACAAAAATCAGGAATGCGACAGAATAAGGAATTTCATCCGGATTTTTGTTCATCCCGATTTTAATGTACTATCCGGATGTTATCATCCTGATACCACGCTAAGTCAAAGTATTCTATCCGTATGCTTTGCATGCGGTTCACGCTAAAAATATGCTTTAAATATACCTTCGACTCTGTATTAAACTATGTATAAAATAAGCGTAAGCGTGAAAATGGTATAAACGTAGCGTGCGCAGGGAATACACGCGGTATATTTGTAGCGTAGTTTTTTTTATTGAGAATGGATCAAAAACTACATTTCGCCACGATATGAATTTCCTATAATCGAATAGATATATTTTTTCCAATTTCTATATGCGCAAGGTGAAAACAAACAGCATTTATGGGGGACGGAATTTTAGTACGCACACTATCCATACTGAGGGATAATTACTCATAGATACAGAAATTTGTAACGTACTCTCTGTACCGTGAGTTATTACGTAAACTTCCGTTGGGTTACGTCAAATTCCGTCAAATTCCGTCAAGGTCCGTCAAATTCCGTCAAATTCCGTCAAATTCCGTCAAGTTCCGTCAAGTTCCGTACGGATACGGAATTCAATTTTTTCCGCGGAACTCCGTCTCCGCACGGAACCCGTACGAGATCCGTACGCACGCGGAACAGAGAGAGCCATGACATTTACCCCAGATCGGAATGATAAATCGGAATAAATGTTCCGAGATTCCGATTTATCGGTATTCTTCAATGCAAATCACTTATTAAAAACAATTGGTTGGAAAAGTCTCGGAAATTCCAATGGATCGGTCTGAATTTTCTCCGATTTTCCGATTTCCCACACTAGCACTTTTCCGAGACTTTTCCAACCAATTGTTTTTAATAAGTAATTTGCATTGAAGAATACCGATAAATCGGAATCATTGTTCCGCTTAATTTTCTCTGAGTATTGACTGGGCCATGACAAGGATATACAATCAAATTTTCATTCATATAAATGATTTTGAATGTGTCTGGAGCTAGCATAGATGAAGTCTATATCCGTGTGCAAATAAAGTGACTGACAGTCACTCAGTTTTATGTAGCTGCAAATAAGTTGATTGAATTCAAAAACTTTGTATAGAAACAATCACTTTTAGCCAGTTGTCTAATGTCGGACTTTTTGGCTACTAGATGACTATAAGTGAAGTTGACTACAGTCGAATATTTTGTTCGAGATAATCACTTTTAGTCAGTCATAGTCAGCCAAAAAGTCCGAAATTAGGCGGCTGGCTAGTCAGTCACAAACTTTTCACACGGGTTCTTTCCCATTTCAATTTTAATATTTATTTACTTTAATTTTTAAATTCTCTTTCAGAAACCGTTGAGTTCAATGTTTAATGCTTTTCCGTTTCTGCATTCAATCACTCGTTAACATGCAAAATGACATATAAACGGGGTATTTTATGTTTGAACAATTCGTTTTCGATTCGAAAATATCGAACATAACATTCAGACCGGAGATTGAATATCCCATGTGAATTGCATTTTTCGAAGCGTCAAAACGAAAGCTATAACTCTAAAACTGCAACACTCTCTAATTCCATCAATAAACAAAGAATGGGCCACTCTGTTAGTTTTCCATACACACCATACGGTGATGAGTTCAAAAGTATTGGCAAACACTAGTTTTTCTGCTCGGTGTACTTCAAGGTGAAAGAGAGCTTGGCTAAGTCGAAGCACTAACGTTCGACATTAATACGAAATCATGTTAGTTATCAGCAGATAATGCTTTTGTCTTATTCGATATTAACGATCGTAATTGAAGCGCGATTGCCGCTCAATACTAGATTAAAAACAAATAGCATTCAAACTTCTGGCGAAATTAGCATAAAGTAGCACATGGAAAAGTTTGCTCCAGATCTGTTAGTGAGAACAACCGTTTGGCACACAAATGAAAGTCAATTGAGAAGAGTCTCATGAGTATTTAAAAGAATGGTTCGTCTCCCTCTCCCACCCAATCAATGCATAAACGTGAAATGTGATGTCGCTGTTGTGTTTGTGTTTTTTTTTCTCACTTTGAAATTTTTTGCTCCAATGCAACTTTGTGACATTTTGCACAAATAAAATGAATAAAAATGCCATGAAATGCTGTGAATTTTCAACCAACTTCAATAAAAAAAACTGAAAGAAAACGAAAACTTGTTTAAAAAAAAAGGTTTCACTCTCCTCTCTTCAGTCTCTTGCTCATTACGCAAACATAACAAAAAGGTTAATGAGTTGACAATTTGTTCGCTTTGTTTCTACAAAAAATATATCAATGTATGACATAAAAGTCAAACAGAACGCAGAAACGATGATTTTTTTTTCGACTGAAGTATTGTGAAAATCGTAGCAAACAGAGAATATTATGTAGAAAAAAGTTTTATTTTGTTAAATTCACCAAGTTTCCAATTGAAAACGTAATTGAATTTCATACGAATTTTCCGTCACGGTGTTTACCAGATTAAAAAAGCAAGCGAAAGGGAGAGAGCAAAACCTAAAAAAAATGAGCAAAAAAAATCGAAGTGGTCTTGCACGTGATTGGGGTGTTTATTTGAAACGTAATATCCAGTACAAAAAGGCTGAGGTGTACTTGAATCGATCGCTTGAAGTGGATCCAGTGCAATTCAAAACATTGCTGGAATCGAGCAAATGTAAACTGAAGCAGAGCCAGGCGAACGATGCATTGATGGATGTGAAAAAGTGTTTGACCCTTGAGCCAAACAACATAAAAGCGCAACATCAACATGCAAAATGTTTGGGTGGATTAAATCAAATCGAAAATGCCATAGCAACAGCGTATGGTATTACATTTGAGTATCCAACCGCAGCCGATGTGCATCACACCAAAGATTCGTTGGAAATGTCGTTGCGTTCGGCATTTGGTCGTTCCACCGTGCCCATCTTGCGAAAGTATAAATTACACCTGAAACGTGACGGCAGCCAAACGAAGACTAAGGAGCTAACGATAAAGAAATGTGGCCCAATTGAGGCACATCGCGAGAAAGCGATCGAATTAATGAAACACAAACTGTATTTTGATTCGACATTTGCCGAGCAAATTGAATTTTGGACGCAGCTTCAGCAGGACGAAACGTTGGACGACAACCTACGCAAACTCATTGATGAGATAACACGTAATTTTAATACCCACGAGAGTATGCTGTATGCACGTGAACCATTTTATGCGAAACGAGATCGCTTCGACAAGGGAAGCCTGTCAAAAGTGCGACATCGTACATTCTTCTATGCGCAGGAGGAAACACGTCGAGAGGCCTTGTGGCAATTGAGGAACATCAAAGCTTTGGCCGTGCACAGTTTTGCCGATGCACTGCGACTAACCGAACGTGTTTTAAGTGAATTTTATGCAATCAAAATGCGAACCGTTTTCCCTGCAAAATTCGAGTTTCTTTGCCATGTATGCCATTTCATTGGAACGGAATATTTGCAAATTTATCGTGCCATTCCAGCTGATCTAATGAGTTTGAAAGTTGAGGATCGTTTAATTGCATTGTTCAATGTATGGGGCAAAATGTTGCAAGGTGAAGATTTGTGCGATAAAAAAGTGGAATATTTTACCAAACGACTTCAAAATGCCATTTACGATATGGAAAAAACCTATCTCTTCCATCAACTGAGTGAAGTGTGTTTCCGCTTCCGTCGACCGGTATATATATATTTATATATATATATATATGTGCTCACTTAAATCCTTATCATTTAGCTGTAATCTCATTGTGTTTGTTTTGGGCACTGTATGTTTCAGGAAGAGTCGCAACGGTTTGCACGTGATGCGGTCAAACATGCAATGGCATGCAAAAGCAATATTTGGACATTTCTCGCTTATTTCAATATCATACGTGTTGATGCAATGAAGCAAAACTATCATCCAATGAAAGATGACCTGGACAAATTGCAAGAGGTTGCCAAGCAGCTGGACGCTTTCACACAAGTGTTTGTCAACACAGCGATTCGATCATTTGAAGACATAAAAAGCGCAAAAAATTGAACGACTCCATTCCGTGAATCAACCATGTTTAAATATAACAACAAATTTAAAATTGATGGAAATTCCAGCCAAATGAATAAACAGAAGAAAAAAAAAGAAAAATTAGTAGCGAAATGTATCTCTCAAGTACTTAAATTAATTCAGCTCGGTAAAAATGACTTAAAGGGGGATAAGAGAGACGAGTACCTGGGAAAGATTTTCAGCAATTAAAACGCAAGACACATGGATTGCGTCACATCACCTGTTACTGCAATGGAAATGTTTTAATTGTATTTCCATCCTTGTCTGTTCATCATCTTGATTTCTCTGGCTGTCACTCGCTCTCTATCTCCTCTTTCCTCTCTGTTCCATTCTTCCTACCTGAGTGCCGTTATCTTTCTTAATTCGCTCGTCTTGAGCGAAAAAAAAATTAGCTTGAGTGTCTAGAAGCGTTTACGTATGTGTAAGAGACAAAGGAATAGAGAGACACGAAGAAGAGAAGTGCTCACGTCTAGAAATTTGATGGCAACGAACTTGCTGCTTGCATCTAACAGCAGTACTGGAGTAAAGACTGCTGAATAAGAGCTAGTGATGTTTTTGTATGAACAGAGAAAGATATAAATCTATCCAATGAAGACACTCACTCATCCGCTCTCACCTGCAAAAGTGATTTTGATCATTAGTATCACCATCAAAAGAGCGTAGCGCAGATTCACATGGCAAATGCTTGCATAATTAATGAACCATAATAATCATTAAATTAACTGTCCAACTCTCACACCATCGCACATGTGCACATTTCGATGCATGCATGATGTGCGCTACGCATTTGTGCTGCTGTGTGAACTTCATAATAAGTTTCTAAAGCTTCAGCGCTTGAATATTTCTATCCGTGTGACAGTGGTAAACAGCATTATATTTATTTCCGTTCCGCACGCGGGCACATATCAAAAAGTGTCAGGCATCGAGCGTGTGTGTGTGTGTGTCTGTGCAATCAAGGCAAATCGATGTTTACATAAATGGCACTTGTACATTAATATTTTTACTTGGTGTAAGTACAATGTTACGTCAATTCTGGCAATTCCAAGAAAATTGCCCCCCTAAAAGACATTGTTGTTGTTGGTTCAACGAGAATTTCTCCATACTGAATATAATTTGATTCAGTTTGGAATGAAAAAAAAAAACCAAACCAAGAAAACATAATGAGATAAAATCAACTAACCACATTTCATTTGAATTTAAAAACCTTGATTAAAATGACAAAGACACAGTTTTGGCGCATTTTTGAAAATTAATGGGATTTCCGTTTGGAGTGAATCATTTCAAGCGATGAAAAGGAACCACGGTAATAACTATACTTGTAAAAACCGTTTAAAACAGTTTAACATTTCTCGCTTCCAAACATTTCATCAGCGTTGATATGCCTGTCACTTTATTGTGTCACGCTTCCTTGTATACATATATATAAAGACAATGAAGCATATAAACAGAGAGACTTAAGCGAAACCGTTTCGAAGTGAAAATATTTTAATGAAATATTCGAAATACATTTCGCTGTTTCTGCTGAATAATAATAATGAGCGAACATCAATTCACGTTTTGCATAGGATTTTAGTATGCATGCGCTCCATAATAATTCAAAACATTTATTGTAATACTTGAAAAGCGACTTGGTGTTCTTTCTCTCTCTCTCTCTCTCTCTCTCTCTCTCTCTCTCTATTTCTTTAAGTTGAGATTTGTTACATACCCAGTTTTACAGTCGTTGGTTTCATTACCATATATTCAGTCTTTATTATGAAGATCTGTTGTCATTTTCCTGCATAAAATTTTCAAACAGATGTATAAATTTCGTGTGAAATTCCGCTATTGAATAGCAAAATATACGTGATTCCGATTGAATGAATAAACTTGCATTGTCGACCATAGCCCAAGAGTTATTGATGTGAAACGCGCCACGTTAAACTAAATGAGAGATGCTAGTCAAACTGACACCGTGTGAAGTATTTGTGTGTCAAAAATACTCTGTCAATGCATTTCTTCATCGCGTGCAAGAAAAAGCAGCGCGCGCGTAAAAAATGTCAACGTCAGACAAATCGTCGAACAATATCATCTGATAATGTTTTTTGATTGACATTCGTCTGCCGGAGTAAAAGAGAGACAGAAAAAAAGCGAAAATAAAAACAACCTGGGATAAAAGAAAACGAACAACGACAATGTTTATTCGAATAGACGATAAATCAGCGAACTTTGCCACTAATAAACACTCCCTACCACGTGTAATGAAGATAAATGGAATATAGAGTCGGATGGTTGCGTTTGCAACCCTCGAAAAAAAAACACACACACGAAACCCAACGAGGGGGAAAACTAGAGAGAGAGAGCGCGCGCTTTTAAGAGAAAGCCACATATAAATAGGTAAGATCAATTATTCAAGTGATGAACGTAACGAGAAAAAAGTAGCCAATGCCAAACAATAAACAATCAGCCAAACCGCTGAACCAAAGTATTTCCATTACTGTAGAGTCTACAGTGTAGACCACCAAAAGTCTAATGATGAATCATTACAGTTTCGACGTCCATTGTACTTGCTTATTTTGGTTCGTCTTTTGGAAATGATATTTTATTCAGTAGAATAATATTTACTTTAAAAAAAATTCGAATGAAGGATACAGAGCGTAGGAGTTAGCGGCTGGGTATTGAGTGTCTGGTGGTAGCGAAAGAAAAAAAAAACTGAGCAAACAGTGAGAAAAATTACAGCCAAAAGAAGATGATGAGATTGAAATCCTAATGGATCAAATCTAATTTTAAAAAAGAAAATCGTTCTGCCTGGTGCTGGGTCAACGGAAATTCATTCATTGAATACGAGGGACAGAGAGCCCTGAAGACAATACACTCTCGTTTGTTATTACGCTGAATTAAAATAGGTGTCTCGGTTTTTGGACATTTTTGGTAGCGTAATATTCGTTTCCGCATCGTCTGCATTTGAAAAGGAGCCACCATGTATAGTGCTTGGCGTTGAGTTCGACATGCCATGCTGAATATTTTATTCGCCACAATTATCATATTTAAAACACGCACACAACAACAACAACAACAACAACAACAACAACAACATAAAAAACACGTGGTGGCGAGCGAGATAAACCAAATGGAAAAGGGAATATATTTCTAGCCATTGAAGCGTGCGGCCACAATCAGCGATGGTAAATGATGGCATTGCCTTTTATCTTCGCTCTTTTTTCCACCGCCTCTCTTCCTCCCTCTTGTGCAAGTCCATTTATACGGCCACTAACCGACGGCTCTAGCAAATGTTTATCATTTGGCAACGAAGTTGGGAGAAGGAGGCGGATGTTGAAGGAAAAAAACAAAAAGTTTAAACGAAAATTCAAAGAAAGTACAAATTTTTCCACGCTGCAAAAAACAAACGCTGGATGACTCATGATAGTATTTAAATGATGAAAATGATTTATCGCTGGGGACACACCGAAATGAAAATGGCAGATAACTGACCAAACCCAACGCTGCTGCCATCGCACAAAATGAAAATTGCCAGAACAAAACATATTTGGGTATGCCGGAAAATGTGTGCTGAAAATTGTTTGGTGTGTTTGTATGTGTGTGAGTCAGCATAAGCTTAAACCAATTTACATACAAACATGACTAATTTTCTTTTTTCACCATCTAATAATGATGTTGACATTAATAATAATGCTTTTGAATAGCGGACTTTCTATGGCCCTGTTTGATAAATACGCGGTGCTCATTTTTTCTTCCTTCAGGACACATATTCTTTATTTGTTTGGGAAACGATGGCACGAGTTTTATCGTTTCACTGTACATGAACATAAATTCGCTTAGTTTGCTCACTTCTCTTTAGCTTTTATCAAAATGAACGGTGTCGCGGAGCATGAGTGCATGGTAAACATAAATCGTTGGTTAATGGCGTTCTCCATCTAAACTACCTCCAGCTAAAATCAAGGTACAAATTTGCGGAAAATTACATTGGTTTCATATGATTTTGCGTTAAAATGCGGTGATATGCGTTGCCAAAGTTTCTACGGGTTGCACAAGCGCATCTTTTCAACAAAATTCCCCAATAGGAAAGCTAAATAGAAGAGTATGCGGGAAAAGTCGATGCTTTGTCGATGTCAAAATATTTCGTTTAAAAATTAAACATTTTTCTGAAGAAAAAAAAACTTTTTTATCCATTTACAGAAAAAAAAATTCAGAGTGTTTTTCTGGAAGCATGAATCGAATGAACATTATAGAAAGAGAATTTTTTTCGGATAGATATCTTAAGTTTAGCATAAGAACACAAAATTTACCCACGATATTATTTAGATTTGAACGAAATATTCTAAATTTTTTCCTTTTTTTAAAATGATTTGAAATCAAAACAAGGATTAATTCAATCGGTTTGAAATAAATGACCAAAAATGTTCACATTTTCCACAATTTGTTTTATTGTTGCGATTTTGATATAAAAAGCACTTGAGCTCTAATTTTATTTTCGACAAAAATGTAACGATTTTCAAGAGAATCTCTTCAATAGATCACTCAAATCCGAATCAATTACTTCGCTCGTATGTATGTCCCCTGAAAGTATGTGCAACTTCAGATGTTTAAGTTCATTTCGAACATATTGTGTGCTTTCAGCTCAAAGTTCCATCCGAATGGCCATATGACTGATGTAGAGTTTCAATTTGTTCGCAATAGCTGTTGTAGGGTTTTATGATTGTGATTGACTTTGACATTTGTGCACGTGCAGCGAAGCGATATTGACTGATATTTGAATAGTTCTCGTTTTTCCATCGAAATAAATTTATTTCTGCATCCAAGTGTTCCCAACTGCATTTAAATTTGACAAAACAATGAGTAAAAGTGTTAGTGCAATGGATTTAGACGATGAAACGGTGATTAGTCGTGTTGGAGCGTGGAAAAACAAGTAAAAATCTCAATCAAACTAATAAACAAAACACATCAAAATTCGTTTGACTTTATTTCTGGCGCTCTCTCCTTGTTCATTCCAGAGATGAATTTAATTTGGTGTACGATTGGTTATTCGGATCGACCAGCAATGTTGAAACGAAACAAATGGCATTATCTCGCTTAAAATTATGGAAGATGCGTCGCGGTAATTTGACTCCGGCCAGTGTGCTCAGTACATTGTCAATATTGGATATACAATTGAAAGATAAATGCGAGAAGCGATTTTCCGATGATGAACTTCGGTCCATGTATTCGAATGCATTTACACGTTTCGTCAATTACATGTCGTCCATAATGCGTAGTCGAACCGTACAATCGATGTATTCAACGGCCCGTGAACTGGGCATCGAACCATTCTTGGTGGATTTACGGCATTTGTGCGCTCACGGTCAAGTGTTACCATCGTTGGACATTTTGCGACGCACCACCAACTATTGCATGAATTGGTTACGCGAATTTTATTGGGATCGCGAAAGAAATGTCATCACCGATGCCATTGTACGGGATGTGCACCTGAAGAGTACACTGGAGCTGGAAGCATCGATTGGTGATTGGTTCAATTTGTACGATGCATCGACGGAGGCATTGCTTAGAGGCTGCAAGAATATTGACGATTTAACCAATGTCAAACCGGATGAACGACTTACACACGCATGCATCGAACAACTGCAACAATGTGCGCAACAAATTCGTAACAACAAACTGTCGTTCATTGCAAACAAATCCATTAATCAGTTGGCTCTGCTGTCTAATAGCAATGAACGCGATCGTGGTGATGCTCAAATCTATTGTGATGTTCTATTCGATTGCCAATATTTTATGAAACGATCAGCCGAGTACTACAAAACCATGAATAAAGAGGAAAAGTCGAAATTCATTGGCATTCACCAGAATCTGTTCCGAATGTTTGCCATTTGTGATTTTATCAATGCCGTTTTTATGCGACTGTTGAACGTTTGTGAAGATGATTTGGAAGAGGAATATCTGAGGAAAGCGGCCAGTTTTTGGACCAACGAAATTGCCACCGGGTTTTTGGTGTTTAAAGAATTCAAAATGTTGTACAAAACCAAACGGGAAAAGGTATATCATGGGACCGTAGTTAGGTGCATTTTTTCACGTCATTTTAATTCTTGTTATTGTTTCCTTTTTCCTCAATCACACCTCTAATGGCAGAAGCATTTTTCATTATCATGATAACAATTGAACGTAAACAAAACGAATAATTGCCCCTTTTTTGTCGTTGTAGAATTCCAAATTCGACGTCGATATGGCACCAATTAATACGGATATTATGACCGATGACATCAAGAAGATTTACAAAGAGCTTGGCGTCAATTATCGCGGCACATTGATTTTCGGCGACACAGTGCGACGACCGTGGTCACTTCAATTTGACAGCGATTTCCTCATCGAACGATCAACAAATATCAACGAATACACCGTTGACATTGTCAAAAAGTATGAGTCGTTCTATATTCCAAAATTATTATCATTTTTTCACAATTTTTTTTTAAATGATTTATCTTGTGCTTATCAGATGTGTTAAATTGATTGAGCCATCACTGAGCAAAACACAGACACAGTATATTGAGCGTTTACTGTCAATTTATTTGGATGACGAGTCGTCAAAATCGAGTCCATCAACTGATGATGGTAAAATTCACACGCTTGAAGACTACACGCCCAAATCAGTACCTTGTTCAGTTGAAACGTCCGATGTTGAAGGATCCATTTGGAAACAAACACCAGGTATATCCCACTAACTACGAAGACAGTGCTCTGAAAAATGAATTAAAACTCCAAAACTCAACTATTCTTGATATCATTTGTCCATTTCAGACGGTCCCAATTGGAAGTCGTGTCCCATAGGAAGTTTCCCATGAAGAGAGTAAAAAAAAACGCATCGTTCTATATTTACTGACATTGACATTGTTCACGGCACAAAAATCTTGCGATAACAATAAATTGGCCATTTTGTAATCGAAATAAAGTGCATTTTCATTCCGTCTCTGATGGCCTTTGAATCAGCGATAATCTAGATTAGAAGGGCTCTTCACGGTTGCGCCGTTCATAGTACGACTCATCAATTTTCTACAATGTTCCATGTTTACACCGAATGCGTCACATTGAATGACATGACACCTGAATTATGGATTATTATTCGCTTTCGATTATTTTCAAACAGTCTAGTATACTTATCTAAATGAATTTCAAGGCTGGTGCAATGATCCTCATATGTATTTTTTTTTCGGAATAGCCGACAAGTTTGTAATGCGGTTTGGTTCTAAGTAATTCTTCTGTGTGTATTTCAACATTTGGTTTGATTGGGTTTTTAGACTGATTAACAGCTCTATCGATAGACAATTTTCTGTTGTTTGTTATGCATATCAACATGTTGATGGGAAGAAAGGACGACAAAAAGCCAAACAAAATCGATGGAAACCAAAATAATTTGGTTCGAAAAATTCCATGTGGGTGAAGGAAGTTTAAGTCATGTAAAGAGAACCAAAGCCGTATGAAATAGAGAAATTCGGTAGCGTTTCTCTTATGAAGAAGAGAAAGTGGACAACGGCGGCGACGAAGAAGAAGATGTGATACAAACGATTCGGTTCTTACCTTAACTCGATCAGGTCAAAGATCTGAAATGTTTCAGCTAAAAGTTTCAAGCAATAGACAGATTCAGAACACTGAAAAAAAGAAGAAATAATTTCTCAAAACTCATTACATCCATTGCTTGGTATACTGAGAATTGCATGATCCTCTCCTTTGGATCCGCTATAAAAGGACAAAAAAAAGGAAATGAAAACGAACACTGGGGTAATTTTTTTTTTTAAAGAAAAACATACAATCGCTTTAATAGTGCAATTTATATTATATTTGTAAACAAAAATGGAGGCGATTTTAATGTAAATAAGTAAACTTACAAATAAATATTGATTTTCTTTGCTCTCCACTGTAACCACATCATGCAATGAGTGGAAGCCAAAAAATAAATATTATCATAAAAACACATCATCCTACGGATTTATTCTCATCATTTTGTTTTCTCATATCCTCATCGTACGTAATTCATTTCATTATTTTGTTGTTGTTGTTGTTGTTGTCTCTCATCTAACTTTAAAACTTAATCATAAAACAATAAAATAAATGATTAATTGTTATCAATGTTATGTATATATATATATATATATATATTTATATATTGTAAAAATAATACGTTCAGAATTCTCACAAATCCATCATCAAAATGTGTTTGTTTGTTTTTGTTTTGTTGTTTGCGACAATTCGAATAAAAAAGAAAACGAAATGATTATCATACACTTAACATAGTTTGATCGTTACATATGCATTGTTTTACTTGTTTTGTTTTTTGTTATTTTTTTCTCTGTTTTAAATTTCGTTTTATTATTCAGCATTATTTTAGGGTTTTTTTTTTATTATTATTTTATCTTCTTCTTCTTGTTGTTTTTATTTTAGTTCACTTTAATTGTCTAATACATTTATGCTACAAATAACACAAAAAATATTTACCATCAAAATTGTATCCTAATTTTTTCTTGCTTTTTTCTTGTGTATTTTTTACGTTTTATCTTTTTTGACATGGTTTTTTTTTATTTGTTTGTTTGTTTGTTTAATTTTTTTATGTTTTTTTGCTTTTAAACTTTAATTTATTTTATAATAGTAATAATATGATTTTATTTGTCGATTATACCATCAATAAATATCATTGCACAGTTTGGTATAATCCCTTAAAGGAGGAATAAAATAGTCATCATCATTTAAATGAAATAATTTTGAAGAATAAGTTACGTTTTGTTTTTTTTTTTTGTGTCAAATGTTTTTCTTTCCCTTTTTCCATTACTTTAGTTCATCTACAGAAATCAGAGCTAAACAACTTTGCAGTAGCGATGCATTGACTCTCTTGTAATATTTGTTATTTCGTGTCGTTTTCAATTTGCAATCACGTTTTTTGTTCACTAATGGTATCGATAAGTTATGCTTTAAGTTTAATGTATTGCTTTTGCAAAAAAAAATGAAATAAACGAGAGCAAGAGAGATGGAGTGTCAATTCGATTGGAGGTGACCGGATTTCTGTGGTCAATTTTGATTAGATTAGAATGCCTATTTTCACTCAAAAATTGAATGTTTCTGTTGAATTTCATTCTATTCTATCCAAAAATCGAGATGCACACACCCGAAAATTAAACCGAAAAGAAACAAGTTCTGTGAACAAAATATTGAACTTCTGGAATTTTGTTTGCAATCAATTACCACACGTTAATTATCTACGAATTTTGGGAGACCATTTTCAAATCGTTTTTTTTTTTAATTTCATTTCCGAATATATAAGTGATTATTTTATTTACGTTAGTGTAATTTATTTCATTAAAAAAATCAAAATGTTTCGAATCAAACATTTTTCTTTCGGTTTCGTAGATAGATTTTTAGAGAGAGAAAAAAAAATATCAAAAGTTGCGCCAATTTCTCTTTCGCTCAAATTCAATCGATGAAAAAAATAAAATGTTAAATTTTCCGGACAATGATTTCTGTCGACTGCATTTTCTTTTTTACTATTTATTTTCTTACGGAATTTTCCTTCTTTCAAAACACTATTTGCTTCTGAGACGGTAGATTAAAAAAGAACGATCCCATTGCGATAAGTAATGACTATAATTCTTCAATTTAACATCAATTTGCTCACCATTTTTTTCTTTCTAAAAAAAAAGGATTGTTTTGTCTTCTTAAATGTGAATATTACATAACGTTAAATAATAATAACAATACAGTATTTCCGTATTAAATCAAGGAAGTTCCGTTGAGTCGAACATCTTTTCATGGGCCGAATATGTTTGTGCACATTACGCTTTTATATACAGGTGTTTCGATAACTCGGATCTTCAGAATGAGTTTTCACTTCGTGCACTTTGTTGAATCCAAGAAAGAAAAAATCAATGATCGCACCAACGGAACACTCTTTGTTGAACGTGGAATTGCTGAACAATAAGTAAAAACAACTTAAAATAACGAAAAAAAATATTATACAAATTTTACAAATTATTACATAAGGAAAAAAAATAAAGAGAAAAACTTCAATGAACTATTTATTTAACAAGTGTCATTTTAAAGTAAAAATCTAATTTGTATACTTTATGTGTGTATGTGTGTTTTTATTATTATTTATATCGTTTGTCCGCCCCGTGACACGTTAGGCATCAAATGTGTCATTCTCGCTGTCATGAGGGACATTGTGTTGTGTGTGTATATATGAGTTGGCACGAACGAGATTTCGATTTTCGTTCAGGCCAGCTATCGAATGAGTTGGTAGATTTTCTTGTTATTGTTATTGATTTTCGATGAGAAAAAAAAACAGTTTTCTTAGTTAGAGAAACAAAAACAAATAACTATTTTTTCTTTTTCTTTCGAAGGAAGGCAGTGCAGGTGCATAACTGAATATCATATACTCTCGTGATGTTAAACATCACATATGATTTTTGTTGTTGTTGTTGTTGACGGTATGGTCTCTTCTTTTCTTTTTCTTTCTTCCGTTGTGAAAAAACAACCGAAAATTTATTTCAAAACAACAGAAAAGAAACCGAAAAATATCGTGTGAAAAATCGAATTTTTCGATTCACAATCACATATAAAAATTAAATCAAAGTAAGTGAAACGACACAAACAATTTTCATTTGACAATTGAAGGCGCAGAGAAATATGCTTTTAGTTTGATTTGTTTTGGACAATAACTGGTCGGAGAAGGAAGAATTCAAATTTTTCGTCACAATGACAGGATAACGGAAGGTGTTTAGCATTTTTTGTGTGTTTTTTCGGGGTAATCGCATGTTTTTGATGGCATTTTTGAATGTTGCCCATCATAATTAGAGAAGAAACCGTTGAAAATATGCCGCCTTCAGATTGAAATTAGGCATCGGCAAAAATTGATGCGACATTTAGCAAAGTTTTAGACAGAAATTTGCAATTCACTTGAATCCAAAGGACTCAGGAACGCTGGATCCCAGTGAGTCGATTCGATTTATTTCCAAGAAAAATAAAGTGAACTTTTGTCAAATGCCAAATGCTATCTTTGCATGGACAATGGACATCCATTTGGTGTATTTTCGTTCGTAATTTAGGCTAAGACACGGAACGTTGGCAATCGATCGTGTGCGTTACTCATTGCATTCTACATGCCATATTGTTGATTCCGATTGGATGTTTGTCTAAAGCAGTGTTTTGAATCAATCGCTGAGCAATCGTTCAAATCTCACAATAATGTGGACCAACTGTTTCGATCCCGATTCCGGTGTCTCGTATCAGAGGAAAAACGAAGAAAACAGAAAAAAAAAACTTGCACTCCTCATTGAGAGATATATGTTATATAGAAATACTATTTAAAAACTAATATAACATTGATTGTATAAGTAAATTTGTAGTCTGCTCATTTTTTTCTTCTTCCACGTTTCATTTGTTTTATATATCAAATAAAATATATTCATACACCTAGTTTTGAAATATTTTGTTTAAAATATCTTGAAGTTTTTTTTTTACTTGTTTGCCTTGTTTTTTTTTTAGTTTTGTATTTAGACTTTGTCGTACTTAATATTCTTTGTTTATTTAGATCTTTCTCTCAGGTTAGCCGGCCACACTTGTTCCACGCGTGCACACGCTGTGTGCAGGCCATGCGAATCAAGTTGTGCCGCTTCGTTTTTAAAATTTGTGTAAATGTTCATGGGTAATCTGTGTATTTATTGATGTTATCAAAGTTTGATAGGTTTTTTAGGTCATATCCAACAACGAGTTCAAAACATTCTCTAAACGATATTGGTTTGTTTGTTTGTTTGTTTTTTTTTCACTAAACATTTAACTCACACTAACTAGACTTTACAAAGGATGCGTTGCCATTACGCTTGGACCGCAAGCGTAACAAACAGGCAATAAAGTTTCAACAGCGTTGCCTCTTTAAATTCATTTGTTCTATCTTCTTTATTTTCTATTACAGAGATGCGGAAATGCAGCAATCGGTGTGTGTGTGTATTTACGGTTGCACCACTCACCCCGATTGTATGCTTTTCTATATGTTTTCTTTTTCTCATTTAATTGAAATACGTTTGTCTTTTGTTTGTTTTTAAAACTGGATTTTCTCTATATAATATTTATATTAAAAACAGTGTCCCATTCAATGATCATCATCCCTTGTTTTTTGTCGAAGCTCCGAAAAGTGATGCGATTTTGGTTGTTTGGCTAGTAATTTTGGATGAAATTGTCCAAAATTCCGTGACTCATGCCATTTAAATGCGCTACTAAAACGTCGTTAAAATTGTGTATGTGTATTTGTGTGTGTATCAGAGATGGGCAGTTTCTGAGGGCTAATTAATTTTGTTGTTGTTTTTTTTTTCAAGTTCCATACAAAAGAACGTTTCAAAGAAGGAATTATCACATAACCAATGCAACCACTTGTTTGCATATAACCGTTTGAAATTCGTGTCACGCGCACACACACACTCTCCCTCCCCAATATTTCAATTCCAATTCATCGATGTCGTAAACTTGTTTGTTTGTTTTTGTTTTTTCTTTGTGATTTGGTCATATGTGATTCAAATTTCTTCTTTTCTGAAATTGATTGACTTGTCAGTTATTGTTTATTAGCCACAAGAATTGATTTCTCAAAGCAAAACAGAACAAAACATGTGGAAAAAGAAATAAATCGCGAAAAATTAAATGTCGTTTGAGCCGAATTCGTGCTATTTTCGGAGTTTTGATGTCGGAACTCTTCGTCAACACATTTATTTAGTTCGTTTGTTTTTTGTGCGTGTGTTGTTGTTTTTTTTATTGCTGAATCGAACACACAATTTAGAGTAAGCGAGATAGAGAGAGAGAGAGAGAGAGAGAGAGAGAGAGAAAAATACAGACTCTTTCAAAATAAACCGTTATTTCGATCATCTTTCTCAAGGCCCTGTCTCGAGTAGTTTTCGTAATTTCTTTCTTCACTTTATGCCGGTGATTTTTTTTTCTTTTACCTCTACATTAATTAATGAATGTGTTTCTTCTTTTGCTGTTGTTTTTGTTTTTTTTTAAATACACTTATTAAATGATTTTCAATCTTCCGCTTTTTTCAATTTCCTTAAATCCGAATTGTAATCATTTTTTTTTATCCGAAAGAAATTGAACTTAATGTTAAAATGTGTTAAGTATTTAATTTACATTTTGTAGATAATTTTGTAGTCAATTTTTATTTAGACAATATCGTTATCGTTACTCTTGTCGCGACATAGTTTTTTTTTTGTTTTTTTTTTTAATTTCATCAATTCATTTAGATTACTTTATATGTGCTTTATAAAAGACAAACCAATAGTCGCGATGAAGGTATTTTGTTGTTGTTGTTGTTTTTTCGGAAATCGTGCGCTTAGGACCAATGCGTCATTGCCGAGGAAATACAGAGAAAAAAAAATACAAATTTACAAATTTTCTTTAAAACTTTCTTAAAAAGGACAATCTGGGTACAACAGCAGTTTCATTGGCTGAAAGACACATGTCCCTTCCATATGGGAGTGATCTTTTAGAATTGAGGCTGGAGAAGTGATTCTTCAAAAGCGATCATTTCTATCGGAACCGATTTCGGACTTTTACAATTCGATTCCGATGTGAGAGAGTTTCAACTCAATGAAATCAGCCGATGTGCATCAAATTGTTTCTGGTCGGAAGAAAGAACATTCAGAAAGGGCTGAATAAAATGTTAATTGTCGATTTACGAATAGGAAATCGATCGAAAAATGAGGTTACTAAATTGTACAATGCGGTGAATATGAATAAAATATAGAGAATATTTGTTTTTTTTTACTTTGTTTGTGTGTATATGCATTGAAATTGTACGCGCAAAACTCCTTTCAATCTTGGTTCACCCGCTCATCATCATCATCAATTTATTGCACATGGAGCGATGCTTTCAATGTTCGTTGAAAACGGTCGCACATTCAAGGAGCGCAGCAAATTTCAGCACATAATTTGCTATGTTGTTGTAGTGGTTGTTGTTTTTGAACTTTGACGGATAAAAATTTGTAAATGTCTCTTTGATTCTTTCTCTCGTTTTTCTTTCAATCTAATAAAAACAACACTATTTTTTAACACTAACATAAATAATGTCGTTTCGGCGAATATATATATATATATATATATGTGTGTAATATTATGAAATAATCACAAAACATTCAATGAAATATGTTTGTTGTTGATCGACCGCGTGCCTCGACTTATATTCCCCGCAAAGTGTGTAAACATGTTACAGGCGGCGGCAGCGGCAGCGTTACATCGTGTGAATTTCGTAATTGTAAACTTTTTTTTATAGTATATATATATATATATATATATATATATATATATAA